TTGTCGTAGTTTTGTCGCCGGTTGCTTTCAGCAAAAGCATTGATGTGAGGAAAACACGACGATATCAACATACTAAGTTGGGTGGTATATCAGTTAACATAAACTTTGTGCAGATATCGAAACAAATATAAATTAACATGAACTCAACATTGCCCTTAAGTGATCAACATTTTGAACTGCATGATTCATGGCTTCATTAAAACACATCGACATATCCACATATACTAATATGTTACCACAGACTTCGATTTATCTCCGTGGTGTCATCGCCGTCTTAAGCACACCGATCGTGTCCGAGACTGGAAACTGATGTAATGAAAACTAAAATTTTATTTTTTCGTCGTATTTTATCATTTCATATTGTATGTAAAATATATTACTATTTTCATAAATAGGATGCGTTATTCTGTTTTTTATTGCTTATTCCCATTTCTTCCGTTCGTTCATAATTTTATTCATAAGCGTCTCTTTACTACAAGTTTGGAACACCTTTATTCATGAATTTATATTTATTAACTATGTTGAGTACAGACATTGTTTTATATGCATAATAATCTGATTGTCAAATTTATCGTGTCTCATTGTTTTAAAAGGTGCTAATAAAATGTATACAAAGATGATATATATTGATCACTTATTTGACCTGTGGCATTTGATGACTTAAATATTAACATTCAAAATTACTTTATAATGATATAAGATGTGCAAATGAAAAGGTAAAGACTGTACCATATTGATTGATTTTGATGATTTTAACCTGCCGCCTAAATTTGTCGTTTCCTTAAGGCGACAAAATCTACTCCAAAAGTGGATGTTTTGACAGTCGGCTTCAATGTGCGTTTTTTTTTTTTTTTTTTTTGTTTTGTTTTTTATTTTTTTTTTAGCAACGGAACGATAATCAATGACTTCTCAAAGTTTCGAATTATTCTGCATTGCAGCCCACAGGCCGCATGGACATAAAATTGCAACCCATGAACCTCGTCTGTGAGGCCGTCCGTCTATCCGTTCTTGCGTTCGTCTCTCCGTGGGCATTTTCAGAGCATACATATCCTAGCCCAAATAATTCATGATAACCACATGAAACTTTCTATACACAGAAATAAAGAACACTACTTGTATCTTCTGCTATGGAAGAGTTTCCAGTTTGGATATTTCTTTGTGCAATATGAAGCTGGACTTATATGATGCTTGTTAGTTTGCCTGTTGGTTCCTTTGTTATATATCTTTTTCTCATTATAGAACGTAACATTACTTGTTTGGATTGACAAATATTTATATGGCTATAGATCTACAGATCAGACAACACCACCATTGTTATCTCTATAGATCAGGACAACACCACTATTGTTGTCTCTATAGATCAGACAACGCCACCATTGTTATCTGTATAGATCAGACAACACCACCATTGTTATCTGTATAGATCAGACAACACCACCATTGTTATCTGTATAGATCAGAACACCACCATTGTTATCTGTATAGATCAGGACAACACCACTATTGTTATCTCTATAGATCAGACAACACCACCATTGTTATCTCTATAGATCAGGACAACACCACCATTGTTATCTCTATAGATCAGACAACACTAGCATTGTTATCTCTATAGATCAGGACAACACCACCATTGTTATCTCTATAGATCAGGACAACACCACCATTGTTATCTCTATAGATCAGGACAACACCACCATTGTTATCTCTATAGATCAGGACAACACCACCATTGTTATCTCTATAGATCAGGACAACACCACCATTGTTATCTCTATAGATCAGGACAACATCACTATTGTTATCTCTATAGATCAGGACAACACCACCATTGTTATCTCTATAGATCAGGACAACACCACTATTGTTATCTCTATAGATGATCACAACACCACCATTGTTATCTGTATAGATCAGACAACACCACCATTGTTATCTGTATAGATCAGACAACACCACCATTGTTATCTGAATAGATCAGACAACACCAGTATTTTTATCTCTATAGATCAGGACAACACCACTATTGTTATCTGTATAGATCAGACAACACCAGTATTTTTATCTGTATAGATCAGACAACACCACCATTGTTATCTCTATATATCAGGAAAACACCAGTATTGTTATCTCTATAGATCAGGACAATACCACTATTGTTATCTCTATAGATGATCACAACACCACCATTGTTATCTCTATATATCAGACAACATCAGCACTGTTATCTCGATAGGTGAGTGGCCGAAATTGGGAATAAATGACAGAAAATATTGAGACAATGTAAGCATGTCAGACTGTTAATATTTATAACGTGAATTATGTCTAGAAATTATATTTGTTACATAAACAAACAGAGACAAAACATTACATAGGAATATCCCTTCCACTGATAACATAACACTACGTTTGACACTGGAAAGATGAGACAAAATTAATCAGTCCCTAATAAGAATCGCGAACTGTGTGTATCTTCTATGGGTATAAAGGGACTCCTACATTGGAGTTATTTTGGCCTCATAGAAGACAATATCTTTACTTCTTTTAGAAATTTAGAATCACCTCTATACGTAAGAAAACCTTACCGGGAAAGGATTAAATGTTGTTCAAGTTTAAATTTAAGGGTCTCCCGTTGAGCCCTTGGGAGAATCACGTTCTACTATAGTTTGTATGGGAAACGAATGTTGTATCAAGCCAACATTCACATTTATACAGAGATTTTTTAGTATTTCTTTTATTGTGTGAGTTCACTTGAGGAAAATGGAGATAAGGTTCCAACCTTACAAAGCATCTGGCTCAACTGCATGATATCGAAAGTACATTATAGCTCGGAGAATAAAAATAAAATATTCATGAAAAGTTCCTTGATAATTTCGGAGAAGAGCATTCTTTTGTTTGGCAAAGCGTTTGAACATCATATGAAACCTACTTGTGTCCTCCTTAAAACATAACAAAACAGTGTTACAAGACATTAAACAAACTATATATATATATGTATGTATTCTAGATAAAGAAATGTTGAAGTGCAAGGTAGGGAACTCTTACAGGTAAATGTGCAGACTAATCTTTCTTCTTAACCAAGTTTAGACGAGAATTAAACTATAGATAAACCACCAGTGTTCTGATACAGGCACGATCTCAATTTTTTGCAGCTCCTTACTGCACCTATTCCTCTTTACCTTTTTTCAATAAATAATGATCTTACAGAAGATACATAAATGGTTGTAAGGGTTTTTCGATCAAGATTGCTTTTCATCATTCTTTTTTATTCGTTTCAGTTTGGTTTTGAGCTAATTCAGGTGGAGTATTAGTTACTTTATACAATAATGTAACATTAATTTATGTATATATATATATATATATATATATATATATACTTATATAATACAATAAAAACATTATTGGACCTATAACCGAGCCATGGGGGACATCCGAGTTTATAAATCTAAAGGATGTACATAACCCTCCCATGTGATCAATAATTTTAAGTTTTAAATAAATATTTGACAAATAGGAATCTATAATGGCAAAATTAGGTCTAGGCATCCGCAATGTTGCTGGTGTATAGGTTCTTAAATCAAATTACCTCGGTCTTAATGACTATGGAAAATTTCTGCTTAATTGATTATCACAACAAGCAATGATATATGTATATACATAAATGTGTAACAAAGATAACTATTATGCTTTGTTTTTCGCCTATTTGGGTTTCAGTTTTTGTTTTACTGATTTTGTCGTACTGTCACAGTTGACTTTGGTCTCTCCTTAATAAAGGAGTGTAATGACTCGCTTGCTGTGGAGATGGGGATCGTTCCGTCCATACCTTAATAAAAAATATTACAAAGGCGTCTCTCTCATCACAATTCCAAATCTATTTATATACAAAATTTAGTATATACATTTGTACAATTACAATTACAAAGATATTCGTTACTTCAGTTATTTACAATTACTTATCTGCAATGGTACTCATTTACGTTTATTTTCTTGATTACATTTACTTCTTCTCAATTCCGTTATAATCTGAGAGAAATGTACAATTCTTATAAAATTATCTTTTGTGAGATTTTCTAGATTGCAATGTTAACATTTTTATTATATTTACTTATATCACTAGATATTTCAACACTGGTCGTTTTTTGTTTCCAAGAAATTAATCTCCTTATAATCCGCTAATAAGTGTTCGTAAGACTTTTATATACATTACTAACATGTATGGATTATGTACTTATAAAACTGTCCCGAGGCCCCTGTGCAAACCACACACCTGTAGTAATATTTTTATTACCAAATTGCCACAAATATTCTGAAGCAGCCACAAGCCACACACACCCTTAGGTTGATTATTAAATACATATTCAAATATGATTACGATTATTATTGTTTATCAAACCACACAATTTTACTACATATAACATCGTAATATATTCAGATTGTTCGATCCCAGAATTTAGGAGTGATTAGTTGATTCTGGTCAGAATTGGTATCAGCGATGTCAGACAGGCCAATGACGTCACCAGAAGAAATGTCGATGTTTTATCGTCTTCTGCAGAATAATAAAATGATAACATTTTAATCTGAATCGAAAAATGCTCATTTAACGATTAATCGGAAGGGTAGTTGGAATATAGATATGTCCTCAAGCCCGCCCATTTACACTTCTAGAGGAGGAGTGTTGTGTAAGGGGGAGTTACAGAAGTTGTCTAGCTGAGAATCTAACCATCATAATATAAGGGTCATGGAAGATTTTCACACTGTGACCTCATTTATTTTCTTCGTTTTTTAGCCCCTCTAGGGTCATTATGACACTTGAGGACTTAACATTAGTATTATGTTTTTTCGAATAGACAGCCGTTGTCATAACATCTGCATAGTGATAACCGAAGACCGCCATGAAGAATTATGATTTTAGAAACTTTAGACAGTGTTACTGTTCATGATTTTACATATTAATGCATACATAATCGGAACTATATTAGAATTAAAACTGACCTGTATGATTACGATCCACTTGCACTTTTCATGCCTTGTATCGCATTCTGAAACATTACAATCTACAGTTTATGAAGTAAACAAACAAATAGCATTCGACTTGTAATAACGAGTCAATATACGCAATGACACAACACAAAATTTCACAAATGAATTTTTGTATAATATTGATTTTCAGAAATTAAAGATTAATAAATAAATAACTTACCATTATGGTGTTTAACTGCGTCTGTTGAAATAGAGTATTGTTTAAGCTTTACGATATCGCCTTATTGTTGCTATGAATAGCATTGTACCAAAGACACGCAAGTGAAAAACATATTTAGGTACTAATTTAGAAATAATATCAACTGCATCACATAGCTGTTTCGTCCTGCTATCGTTCGTTAGTGACGCTGAAAGTAGGGGGCAACTGAAGAAAATTAAAGAAATGCCAAATCTCAATATATTTATGTTATTTATCGCAAGTGACACTTCTATTAATATATAATTATCTTACCTCCATATTTTCCTGCTTATCCTATAATAAATGGAAAAAGGCACATAAATATTATTTCTTATGTACAATACTGAAAAGAAACTATTGCATTCATTTTAAGTGAGAGTAAGATAGCTATAAGTATTTTAGATTGATAACGGGTAATGACTTCATTGAATGTTTCCTTTAAGGAAAATTTTCTATAACAACAACACGAAATAATTACGAAAATCGAACACATCTATCTTCATATCTGATAAATGTTTGTTTTATGTCACAAATTCTGATATACCACGTTTCGTATATTTAAATTGATAACTTATCAAACTGACCTTTATGAGCTATATGTAATGGCTTACCTTCATTTGCTGTAGTTCCTTCTACAAGAAAAAAAATCTTGCCATGAAATATTCCTCGTACCACAAATTAAAGGGACAGTGACGGCAAACTAGGAATTCTGGCATAACAGTGTATGTTTGTTGACAGGCGCATCACTTCTTCATTAGTGCAATAAACCACTTGTGTTAAAGCTAAGTACTAGTTTTATTAAAAATAATTTGCGATAGTTTACACTTTTGAAGAAATGTTTAATTAGCGATCACATCATATGATATGATTTTTGTTGGATATGACACGACGAACAATATTATGTCGGCGGTGTAAGAAATTGAACTTGTTGACTTCAGTATGTGTATTACAGATAACAACAATTGTAAATGGATGTAAAAATTAATATATCTACAGAAGGCGTTGTTTTAATAATTTCCTTAATATCAAGGGACTGATATCCACAATAAAAGAGTATTATCAACTGCAAAAGGAATATCTAATAGTTAAGGTGACATTTTATATTTGCAAATGATGGTATTTTCATCAGTTTTGCCTGTTCAACTGGCTTTTAAATGATGCTTTGAAAAATTATAAGAACGAGTTTCAAGAAGGTTCAAAACAGTTAAAAATATTGTGCAAAATTTCCCTTTGAAAGAACCAGATAAAGAATCTTGTGTAGTTATCTCTACAGTAATAGTTTTCACTGTGTTCAACATATTCATATTTACATGCATGTATTTTTGACTTTAATAATGTCTTAAGTTTGCCAGAATGTTAAAATTAGAAACGAATACTCTCTTTCCTAATTTTGATAAAACATATGATCTCGTATGGTATCAGACGTTGCTGTTGTAAACGTTTATAAATATTTTACATCATAAGCATTCTATCACTGTAAATAATAAGTCTTCTTACCTCTAATTTGTCCCTTTTCTGTGAAAACGAAAGAATAAAACACTTATCAAATATTTAATATGACATTCAATCAGTGAAGAAAAGTACATTGCAATTTAAGAAACTTACTTTATAATAAGAAGGAAATAACAAAATAAGTCGTAAGTTTATCGAGTCCTGGATGCAGTCATACTCGTGTGTCTGCATACATTATTACATTTCTTGTATACAAGAAAAGACGTGGACTTGCTTGATTACAACAGAAACCCAACAAATATTATACAATCTTTCAAAAGACAAAATACTAGCTAATCATGCTTCGGTATTACAATTATTTAGACCGCTTCAACCAAGCCTAAGTCAAAACTACTAATCACCATTCTAAGCTATATCAAATGTGCGTTATAGTCTTATTGTGACACTGATTACTCAAGAAGTGGAATTAATAGCATGTATATTTTGAAGAACTCCACGGATAAATTCATAAAAATGAAGATTTTTCGGTTGACATCATCTTGTAATGTCATTTAAACTCACTTTTAGATATAATGATGACGTCTTTAAATAACAAGAAAGTCATTGACCACGTACATCGTATTTACCCATCAGAATTGGAAATCAAAGACATAAAACACACTTCTACATTAGCTGCTTATCTATATATATTTCCATACAACGAAGCCAACATGGACAGTTTTCCACCAGGCTATATAATAAACGTGATGATTTCCATATTGTGAATTTTTCATTTCTGGATAGCAGTATACCTGCATTTCAAACCTATGGTGTTTACATGTCACAGTTGATTTGATACTCATGGCTCTGTTCCTGTTATCACGATTTTCGCGCAAGAAGTCCTCATTGTCTGACAACTTGTAACACTGGGTTTCAAAAGATGCAGGTTGGTGAAAGTTAAGGAGAAGTTTTATTGTCACCATAATGATCTCATTCCGAAATATTAAAATTCTTTGTGCGATATCATGCTAGACGTGTTTGATGCTCGTTACTTTGTCTAACAGTTCCGTTGTTGTATACCTTTTTCTCATTAGGGAACGCGACATTACTCACTTGGATTGACCAATGTTTACACGGCGGTGTTGTCGACGAAGCAAAGGACGCTTACTCTTCCGGACCAAGTGGTTTCATTCTCCGTATACTTTTTCATTGGTCTCTGTGTAAATCTTTCTCTTGTCCATATTTAGACCTTGTTTTATGGAATTTGATTTTGGATTACGATTATGGTGATGTGTTGGTATTTTTGTGTGATATTTTGAGAAAACATTCCAAAATATATGCATAGCAATTCCTATATATAGCAATTTTAAGTAAATATATCTCACGAGTATTCAACATAGTGTCACATATTCCAATATACGTCTTGATGTCGAGCACGAAAAACATGTTGTTCTCTCACATTTTCATTGTGTCAAAATAGATTTATATAAATATATTTGGGATATATAGTATATAACAAATATAGTAATTATGTAAACAAATTTCGTCCTATAAGGGTCATAGCATCAATTCCTGTGCCTTCCCTAACAATAATTGCCAACGTTGGGATGATTACATAGTAAGTAAATAAAAAAGTGACGAACATGGGCGCTGATAATCTTGCTCCTCTATGTATTCTTTCGCCCTTTGCCATCGTTTTCTCTATCCTTACAGTCGATTAGATCGAGAGTTCATACTTGGCACTAACCAAGCGACGTATGTGACATATAGAAATATGTTTGATACTTACGTCAGCATTGGCAGCTAGAGCTCCCACCACAGCAGCGCCTCCTACTAATGCGACTCCAACAACGGCACCAGCCACCACGACAGGAGCAGTGACTGCTGCACCAGCGCTAACAACAACCAATTCAGCTACGCTAGCGCCACTAAAGGCACCTACGGCAGTGGACGAAATGACCACTGCTCCTTTACCAACCGGGTGCATTTTCTAGAACGACAACATGAATTATTTGATAGCTACTTTAGGTTTTTATGACAACGTTTGGAAAAATAGCAGGTAAAGATTTAAAGCAAAAATAGCATAAAAGGTTGAAGTAAATGTGTGTTTTGTGTGTTTGTTTTTCTGAGCCGATGCCAATTTTCATAAGAATCAAGACGTGCCATGTTGACATTTTTCGTTTTGAATTATCCAGTCGCTCTCCGACTTTGTTTGATTCGTCTGGATAACTAAGGCAGGCACAGAAGGCATTGTTAGCTGATAGTATTTGGAGTAAAGGAAATTGCGGAGTGAATGGAAAACCGGATGATGTACGTTCAGTGGTAGATGGTGGCTCTCTTTTGCAGCGGACCCCTCGGAAGATTGGTGAATCATTCGATTCAATCTGGATTATGTACATCACATATTCAACTTGAAGATATTTGAGGCCAGTTGTTGTCTTTGATGGCTACGGGAACGGACCATCCACGAAAGATGTCGCCCATTGGAGACGTGGAAAGGGTGTATCGTCGACAAAAATAGAGTTATCAGGAATAACACCTTGTAAGACGAAGAAGGAACTGTTTTTGGCGAATAAGGACAACAAACAAGCGTTCTTATTTTTTCTCGGCAGCAAACTACAAGAATATGGGTGCACTGTCATACATGCTGATGGTGATGGTGATCTTCTGATCGTCAAGACTGCTCTTAATTGTGCTCGGTTGCAAAATGTAGAGATCATCCGGGAAGACACAGACTTACTCGTTCTTCTTTGTTATTACTTTGACTGTCATACAACAAATACTATCTCCTTTAGGTCAGACTGCAGGAAAGCGGGAGGAAAGGCGAAAAAGATCTGGGACATACAAGCTGCAGTCGGCATTCTAGGCGAATCAGTATGTTCTGCACTTCCTGGTCTCCACTCATTGACTGGATGTAACACCACTTCGGGCTTATTTGGAATTGGAAAAGGACAGGCCCTCAAGAAGCTTATGTCAAGCAAGACGATGACGGAACATGCGGCTCAACTGATGTCCAGAACATTAACAGTAAAAGAAGTTATAGGGATTGGAGAGTCAATTTTAGTTGCTCTATATGGAGGGCCATCTGGTGCAAGCCTGGACATTTTGCGCTATAGAAAGTTTACTACCATAGTGCAAGGATGACCAGCAACAGTGTCCAAGTCCAGTCTCCGCCGCCTACGTCAGATGTTGCAAGATTTCACATCATGAGGGCTTATCACCAATGTCAGTCATGGCTCGAAAATGAAATGGATCCAAAGGATTGGGTTTGGTGTGTCACGCTAGGCAGGTTTACACCTATCAAATCCAATCTACCGCCTGTACCTGAACAACTTCTTAAGGTCATAAGATGCAGCTGTAAAACAAACTGCGAAAGCAAACGCTGCTCCTGTAGAAAGAATGGCCTTGACTGTTCAACTGCTTGTACACAATGCAAGGGGATTAACTGTGCAATTTCAACCATCGGGATAGATACCGACTTCACAGATGATATTTAGATGACATGATGTATTTCATAACATGAAAGTGCATATGCGTCTGTGTGAGTCTGATAATTCCCTGAGGACATTGCTTAAGACAAACCGCCAAGACTTTATATCGTTTATGGATATATAATTTAGCTTGCCTGAAAAAAGGTAACTTTTTTTAAGGGGAGGTAATTAGAATTCTGTTTGACCTTATAGTATGATGTCTGTAATATTTATGTCTTTTCTAGAAGATGAATTGGCGTTTTAAAAGGATTTTCAGGTATATCATTCAAGATATTATATATCCCTTGAAAGTGCGGGGAAAATCACGTTTTGACAAAGGGGAATTAATTTATTGGTTCTTGTGACGTCATCTTGTATCAGAAGCATTTCTTTTTATGTTATTTCATCCAATGATGAATTACCTTTCCTTTGGTATACAATTAATTTAATTATTTCGCATCATATTGTTTACCTTACCAAAAAAAAAATTACCCCTACCCCTGTTTTCTAGTTTTTCTTTTAAAAAAATGCGATTTTCACACATTTCCACAATTTTCACGGATGTAGATTTTTAATATAATATACTACAACAATAGAACTTCCAAAGTTATCTATAAAGAATTTTGTTGCAATTAGTTTGGGGCTTTCCCTATTCTGGGGCAAAAATGACTAAATAATAGCGATATCATGAGAATGGGGAAAACTAAAAATGTTTCCCTCCTAGTTATCATCACGTCGTATAGATAGCTTACAGAATACTTGGTTCCGGCGTAACAAGCAGCACATAAAACGATAGCTCCTATAACAGCTCCTCCTACTATTGCACCAAGGCATGCTAATCCACACGAATGACAGGCGGCTGTAGTGGCTCCGTGAGTCACTGCATGTTCACATACAGCTCCGATACATGCACCGGCACCTCCTTCTCCCAGGATAGCACAGTCTGTATAGGAAGCCATTCTAGAAAGATAATAGCAAACATATCTGTGTCTATTAGCACATCAAACTATATTTATCTCATTCACACTTAATCATTATTTCTTCTTGGTAAATTAAAAAGAGTTCATCATATCAAACACCCCAACATAAGTTCATATTATTAGATCTGTATACATTGTGTCTATTCAGCACGAACACCAGCCAGGAACAGATGAACCAAACTTTATCATTTTTTTTAAAACTATGATCTTGAGGCAGCGTATAAAGTGGTATATTCCGTTATATTAAAAAGGACATCACGACAAAAAAATGTTACTATTTTTATTGATTGTGCGTGTTTTATACACCCATTCTATTCGATATTTACCAGTCGATTTCCAGTGTACAGTTTGATAACTGAATTCCTTCGGGAAATCCTTTTAAAATTTAGAGCTTATCATATCCTGTGACAGTATTGAAAACGAGACAGTTAATTTGTATACACGAAAGCATATGATTTCGGATAAAAAATGTAGCGACCCATAGTACGTAAACACCTGTTTTCGGAACCCGATTTGTTACGGACGGACAGACGTTGTTGGATAACTCAGCATTAATTATTAATTGAGTAATGGTTATTGTTTCTGTAAAAGTCTCACTCCAACCGTACACGTATAGCATGCAAAGCTTCGACTTAGTTCCACTTGGTGGAACAGTCCATCAGTCAATTCAATACACGTAACGTTATGATTGGTTTTCTGTCCCATCTGCAATGGTGAGTTTCCGCAGCGAAATTCTAGGTTTTTCCTCTGTCCAGTTAACTTGTCCTTTGCTTTGTGGCTGACATTGTAATTTTCGACCGATTCACTTGGGAAGCCATTCTTGTTTACTGGTGTGGCGTGTTGCTCATAATTTTGACAAATTTGAAATATATATACGCAAAGATAATGTAAACAACAGAAACTAGAAATTGTTATAGACAATTTTGACGGGCTTTTCACTTATTTTGACCTGTAGTTAATGGCAATGCCTGAAATACATTGGCACGCGGTATGAAATCAAAGTATTAAATGGAATCATCAATAGTAAGAGATCGAAGCACTGAGTGTACTGTTTTCCAAAATAATGCTGTATGACGTTAACTTGGAACTGTATCGAAAAGAATAGACATTAATTTTTTTTGGAAAACATTACTTATTGCTATCAATAGTTAGTGTCCACAGGACCACAGGAGATTTTTAAGGAAATTTCACAATTGTTTACTTCCAAAAATGTTTAATTGAATTCTTCGGAATTAATTTTTACATTATTGACGCATTTGACCTTGAAAGTGGATCAAGGTCATTCATATTCGCCAATTCAATAGACAATTATCTTAGCATTTTATTTGCGATTTATCGAACCTCTGGGACTTTTCAAACTTGAGAAGAAATATCGTATATGTTTATACCCTACATTTAAGTTTGGAACTTTGACCCCTAAGGAAAACCGAAAGTTGGTATTTTGTGGAAGTTTTGCTTAAACCAATCAAAAAGAAGTCTCTACAGAAGGTTGTAAAACGAAACACATAACAGTTTTCCTTTGAAAAAGAAAGAAATGTCATTCAATGTTATTAATATAATTGACCCCTGTGACCTTGAAAGTGGGCCAAGGTCATCCATATTGACCACATTTAAGGACACCTATATTAACTTAATATCTATTAGATATCAAGTATATAGGACCTTTCAAACTTGAGAAGAAGTTTCGTATACATTAGTAGCCTACATTGCAGTTCTGAAATTTGACCCCTTTGGAAAAACGGAAGTTGGCCTTTTTGTAGAATTTTTGCTTAAAGCAATCAAAAGCAAGTCTCTATAGGAGGTTGATAAGAAAATCATGTAGTTGCTTTACTCTTAAAAAGTAAAAAAAAATCATTTAATTATATAAATATCATTGACCCCTGTGTCTTTGAAAGTCGGTCAAGGTAATTCATATTAAGAAACCTAATAAGCAATTATCTTATCTTTATGTGTGTGAAATATCAAACGTCTATACCTCTCAAAGTTTCTGATAGTTTGGTACCCTAAATTGCGCTTTTGAACTTTGACTCCTGTCGAAAACCGGAAGTTGACGTTTTACACAAAAATGTCCTATAAGAAGTGATATTTTAGTTTTCAGTTCTACATAACATATCCAAAAATGAATTCAAAATATCACGTCATTATTGAGAAATTGAAGTTTTGGCAAAAATCAAATATGTTCGTGACTCTCTCGATGTGGACTTACATGAGAATGATGTAGACATTGCCCACAGGCTGGGCAGATTAAATAAGGAAAAGCCTAGGACTATTATCTGTAAGTTTACCCATAGGATGAAAAAGACCCAGATTCTAAGTAACCGCCGGAAACTGAGTGGAACCAAGTTCGTTGTTTTCGAGGATTTGACCAAAAAGAACCAAGACATTCTGAAACAGGCGTATAAAATGAAGAGTGTGAAACGCTCGTACAGCTTCGATGGGAAGCTTTTCGTGACTCTAGAAGACGGTACGAAGCGTAGACTTGGTTACGATACTGAACTAACTGACCAGTTTCTTGCAGATGACGGAAACGTTAAGATGGGAATTCGTTGGCATTATATTTCTTTTTAAGGAAACAATTCGGTACATGTGAAAATGTGTATTTTTTTTCTTTAGCATAGTGATCGATAACAAGACTTGGTACGTTTCAGTACCACCAGAGATTGACTTTCTCTGGTGTATCGATCTGATTGATCTCTTTAAAGTGGATTGTAACTTGTGATTTCTAATAATTTGGAAAAATGGATTATATTGGGAAAATTATTGTAAACTGGTAAGTTTAGTTCTTTTTATCATAGACATACTATTTATAATTAGTATATTTTTATTTAATTTTCCCCATTGATTTGATCATGTGTAAATTTATTATTAAATACGGAAAAGTACTAATGCTTATCTAGAATTCTTCCTTTATCTTACATAGTATTGATCGTATTTTTTGTAAATTCCGGAACGTTTGAGAGGTTTCTAAATAGTAGTATACTACTTCCGGTTTTCATTTTACTTCCGCCAGTCCTCGGGGGTTTTCTTTATTTTTAGGTATGTGTACGTTAGTAGACAGTTGTATTTTGATTTTGATCATCAAAATATGTTTTTTAGTTCTCTATGTTTACATCTTTTCTTTCTCTTTACTTTCTCTGTTGCTGGGCTAGAGTATTTTCTATTGTTATTTGGAAACGTTACGTGATGGAAGGGGTATCTATTCTGTCAGCAAACCGCCAGGAACTCGGGGATATAACTGTTATTGTAAGATAATATCAGTAAATTTAATATGCTTAATTATAAGCATTAGTATGCTAGGTTCGTCTGATGTAAGTTGAGTTACCTAGGCGAAGTACGCTACTAGGTTCAGTCTATGTACCTTGGTTCTACTCGTGTAATGTAATATATATTGTAATGTTCTGAATAAACCTCCATCTTGAAAAGCACATGGTGTTTTTGGAATGACTTTATGGCCGACTCCTGATCATGAAACATGGTGTCAGAAGTGGGATACATGTGCCGATGTGAAGTAAGTTTATCGTGAACCGGGAGAAATTCACCGCGCATACGAAATATTGTTAGAACACCCTGAAACGGATTCGACAATCACGATGGCGAAATTTCACGCTCCGGAACCATTTGATTTCACATCTCCAAATGAATGGCCTGATTGGCTACAACGCTTTAAACATTACAGGACAGCTACGAAGTTGAACAAGGAGGAAGATCCTGTACAGAAAAGTGCCCTTATTTACAATATGGGGAGACAAGGTGAGAACGTTTTCAAGATACTCGTAATTGATAATGAGGGGGATGGAGATAAATATGACAAAGTTGTGGAAAAACTTGATGCTTATTTCGTACCAAAGAGAAATGTGATACACGAGAGGGCTAAATTTCACATGAGGTCCCAGGGTCCTACAGAATCGATTGAAGCATTTGTGAGGTCGTTATTTGAAATGGCTGAACACTGTGATTTTGGTACACAGAAAGACAATAATATCAGGGACAGACTAGTAATCGGTATCACGGACAAGTCAATTTCCGAGAAATTACAGCTTAAAGCCGATTTAACTTTAGAGACAGCACTACAAATTGCTAGACAGTCGGAACAAGTCAAGTCACAGATCAAAGATCAATCGTCGGTATCAGTCGATGCAGTGAGTAAAGGTAAAAAGTCGGGGACGAAACGTCCTACTCAACAAAAACGTCAACAATATGGAGTTTCGGGTAAACAAAAGCATGACGGTCATGCGCAGGGAGGACAAAGGTGTACATTCTGTAACCGGTCACATGCAAAAGGGTCATGTCCTGCTTATGGTAAACGGTGCAATAAATGCAAGTCGTTGAATCATTTTGCTGTTTGTTGTAAAGCCAAACATGTTCATGAAGTTGTACAAGAACATTCGGACGAATTCTTTCTAGGTGCAGTGAGTACCGGCTCATCGGAGGCCTGGAAAGTAATTTTACCTGTCTGTGGGGCATCAGTCACTTTCAAAATAGACACAGGTGCAGACATCTCGATTATTTCAGAGAGAACATTTAATCGTTTTAAAGAAAGGCCAGTACTTCGGAAAGTTGATACTGTGCTTCAGAGTCCAGGTGGCACATTAGGATGTGTAGGTCGTTTTACGCATGTTGTACGCTATAAATGTGTAGACTGTACACTTGAGTTCTACGTTGTGAAAGATCAGCAAAATAATCTACTGAGTCGTGATGCGGCAATGAAAATGGGACTAGTCATCAGAATCGAGGAGGTTAGCCGGTCAGTATTTGGGTCCTCTGGTCTAGTAAATTGTGAACCAGCCACCATTCAGCTGAGAGACAATGTTAACCCGTATTGTGTTACTACAGCAAGGCGTGTTCCATTTCCATTACTCGACAAAGTATCGAAGGAACTCCAGCATATGGAAACAGAAGGAATTATTGAAAAGGTGATAGAACCAACCGATTGGTGTGCACCCATGGTACCAGTAGTGAAAAAGAACGGTAATGTCAGAATTTGTGTAGATTTGAAAAAATTGAATGAGGGAGTCAAACGTGAAATACTAATGCTGCCTACTCTTGACGATATAGCTCCAAAGCCTACAGGTGCCAAAGTTTTCTCAAAACTTGATGCTAGTAGCGGTTTCTATCAAATACCGTTACATCCCGACAGTTCGAAACTGACCACATTTATAACGCCATTTGGACGTTTCTGTTTTCGACGTGTGCCTTTTGGCATTACTTCAGCCCCAGAGATCTTTCAGTGAAAGATGACAGAACTTCTCGCGGGTTTGGAAGGCGTAGAAGCGATTATAGACGATATATTAATATATGGTAAAACGGTCAAAGAACATGACGAACGCCTTGAAAAGGTGATGGACAGAATTAAAGCTTCAGGTCTCAAGTTAAATGAAGACAAGTGTGAGTTCAGGAAGTCGAACATAGAGTACTTCGGTCACATGATAAGTTCCGAGGGAATTGCACCCAATCCGAAACGTGTGGAAGCTATTCGAAATATGGAGGCTCCTAAGGGCGTCACAGAACTTCGCAGAGTCATTGGCATGATTAATTATCTTGGACGGTTTCTACCAGATCTGTCAACATCAATGAAACCGATGACAGATTTGCTCAAATCAGACCAAGTTCGGGCATGGACTCCGATGCAGGAACAAGCATTTAATGAGGTTAAAAGAAAACTAACAGAAACTCCTACACTGAACTTTTACGATGCGAAACGGGAAACTGTTGTGAGCGCCGACGCCAGTAGCTATGGATTGGTGGCTGCATTGTTTCAGAAGGACGACGGTGGTGAACTCAAGCCGATTATGTTTTGTTCGCGTACACTCACTCAGGCCGAGACAAAATACGCACAGATTGAGAAGGAGTGTCTCGCTCCGGTTTGGGCATGCGAAAAATTTGAACGTTATCTCGTCGGTTTGCTTTCGATTGCTAACGGATCACAAACCGTTAGTACCCCTGATTAACACGCAAGATCTCGACAAAACTCCACTGAGATGCCAACGTCTCTTGATGCGTCTACGCAGATTTAATCCTGTCGCTGAGCACGTTCCAGGTAAATTGCTTGTGGTTCCTGATACGCTTTCGCGAAACCCTATGAAAACACAAAATGACAGCAGAGAGACTGCTATTGAAATTTTCGTAAATTCGATTGAACAGTTGCGACCAATATCGGATATGAAATTGGAGCGTATACGGGACGCACAGTTCAATGATGCAGGTGTCCAAAAAGCAATCGTATATACAAAGTATGGTTGGCCAGAAAAAGAAACTTGTGTGGATGTACCAGCACGAGAATACTTTGCATCACGAGGAGAACTTTCAGTGTCTAATGGTTTGCTTTTATACCGTGATCGAGTTGTTGTTCCAGAAGAACTACGTAAAGAGATTATGGAAAATCTCCAAGAAGGTCACATGGGCATTGAGAAATGTCGTGAACGCGCTAGAACAACCGTATGGTGGCCTGGCCTTACCAAGTACATTAAGGCAAAAGTAGACTCTTGTCAATTCTGTCAAGACCACAAACCTACCCAAAGGAAAGAACCATTGAAAGTAACGGAACTACCGTTAAGACCATGGCAAAAAGTGTCTGCCGATTTGTGTGATCACAAGGGGAAAAACTACCTCATCGTAACTGACTATTATTCCCGATACATTGAAATCGCAGAACATTACGAGTAGTCAAGTAATTCTGCGATTGAAAAATATCTTCGCACATTGGGGTGTCCCGGAAGAGTTTGTATCGGACAACGGTACGCAATTTGCATCACGTGAGTTCGCAGAGTTCGCGAAGGAATATGGATTCCGACAAACTTTTTCGAGTCCACATTATCCTCAGGGAAATGGTGAGGCAGAGAGTGGTGTAAAAACAGCTAAGCGTATTCTAGACCAAGATGATGTGTTCATTGCACTTATGGCATATCGAGCAACACCTATCGTCGCGACTGGTTCGAGCCCGAGCCAGTTGATTATGGGTAGACAAATTCGTACTACAGTGCCAGTCGTCGAGAAGAAATTAGTTCCAAAATGGCCGAATGCAAAGAATGTAAGGAAACGGGATACAGAATATAAACGTTGTTATGTCTATCATTACAACCGTCGACATGGTGTACGAGATTTACCCGATCTGGACATTGGTGATGAGGTCAAGGTCAAACTAGATGGCGAAAAACTCTGGTCCGCGAAGGGAGTCGTAGAAGAGGCGTATCCTGAAATTAGGTCATACCGTGTCAGAACGCCAAAGGGGGTATACCAACGAAATCGTAGACATCTACAGACTATTGCCCCAGATGACGTCAGAATTACTCCGACGTACGATAAATTGTTGTCAGGTGATCTTAACGTCACACCGAGGAAAACTGTTCCGTCAGCAGTCTCAACACCACATGTGAAGTCGTCAACGTCAACACCACCAGCTCCAATTGTAGACAAGTCAACGTCACCTACTGATGTTTCGGACAACACATACACCAGTCCAAAGAGGTTGACCAAACTTCCTACGAGGCTGAAAGACTATGAGGTCACATGAACTATTGCTATTCCATCTTAGCGTAGTACAGGAGTTGTGTGTAATAGGGCAGAATAATCCCTACACTCCTGTGGGTTCTGAGGCAGTCTACCTCATTTCCCAAGTTAATAATTTTGTTTATTTGTTTGTTATCAAAACAAAGTCATAGTTTTGTTCGAAAAAAAAATGTTTAATGATATAATTTAGTGATTTGGTATCATAAGTTCAGTATTAAGAAGCTATTTGGTAAAAAGCAGTTTCAGAGACATTTCTTGTGGACAATTTATTACATGCATAGAATTTGTTCTTTTATTAGGCAAAGTTATATAAAGACCTTTGAAAGGAGACAATAATTGGACAAGATTCAGTGGAAATAATTTTGCTGGTAATCATATCTATATTGTGCAAGTTATTTTCTTTAACTTCAAAAGGGGGAGATGTTATTGTAAGATAATATCAGTAAATTTAATATGCTTAATTATAAGCATTAGTATGCTAGGTTCGTCTGATGGAAGTTGAGTTACCTAGGCGAAGTACGCTACAAGGTTCAGTCTATGTACCTTGGTTCTACTCGTGTAATGTAATATATATTGTAATGTTCTGAATAAACCTCCATCTTGAAAAGCACATGGTGTTTTTGGAATGACTTTATGGCCGGCTCCTGATCATGAAACAATAACTAAAAGGAAAGACGTTTTCTCATACTTAACATCTAAGGGACATTCTATTTTCTGTTTGCAGGACACACATTTTTCTGAAGAAAACCAGAATTTTATTAGAAACGAATGGGGTTTTGATTGTTATTTCAACTCTTTTAAGTCGAATTGTAGAGGGGTGGCAATTATGTTAAACAATAAATGTGAAATTAAGGTAAATAAAGAACAGAAGGACTTATCAGGAAACGTTTTAGCACTTGATATTTTAATAGAAGGTACAAAAATTACACTTATTTCACTGTATGGTCCAAACACAGACTCACCAAATATTTTTGATATTCTAGTAGACACTATTGATGATTTTGGTAATGATAAGTTAATTATATGCGGAGATTTTAACATGGTTCTAAATCCAGAGTTAGACTATGATAGAGGTTATAAAAATGTAAATAATCGGAAAGCTAGACAGAAACTGCTAGAAATCATTGATAGTTATTGTCTCGTTGATATTTATAGGGAATTACATTCAGATAGTAAAAGATACACTTGGAGGAAAAAGACCCCAGTGAAACAAGCACGCTTAGACTTTTTAATATCAGAAAACTTGTAATCAAGCATTTTAAGTTCAGTTATAGAACCAGGATACAGATCCAACATTCGTTTCCTTTACCTAAGTTAAAATTTAGTGAATTCAAAAGGGATAAGGGATTGTGGAAATTTAATTCATCTCTTTTATATGATGAAGAATACTTAATTATATGATGAAGAATACTTAAAATTAGACAAAAAAGTGATTTTAGATACAAAAAGCCAGTGTTGTCTTCCGGTAAACAACAGAAATACTTCAGATACTATTTCAGATACAGATATTGAATTTATGATTGATGACCAACTTTTTCTTGAAACCTTACTCATGGAAATTAGGGGGAAAACAATATCGTATTCATCATATAGAAAGAAAGTACAGAACAGAAATGAAGATTTACTTAGAGCACTATTCAGTACATGGAGGAACAAGAGCAAGTAGATATTGAAGAATTAGATGTTAAGAAAAAAAGAGTTGGAAAACATTAGAATTAAGAAAGTTAAAGGTAGTGTAGGGGAAAAACCAACTAAATATTTTTTCAATTTAGAAAACAGAAATTTTGTTTAAAAAATAATACCAAAAATAGAGAAAGGGAATACTGTAATAACACGCCAAGAGGATATTCTAGAGGAGGTTCGCTGTTTTTATGAAAGTTTATATAATGACACCTCTGAAATTGAAGATATTGATTTAACTGAATATTTGGAGACCTTTGAGGCCCCAAAATTAGACAATAGTGAGGCAAAAAATCTAGAAGGGCAAATTACATTAGAAGAGGCAGCAAAAGTGTTGAAAATTATGAAAAATAACAAAAGTCCTGGTACAGATGGTTATACAGTTGAATTTTTTAAATGTTTTTGGAAGCAGTTAGGGTTTTTTTATTGTAAGATCTGTAAATTGGGGATATAAAAAAGGTATCCTTTCTGTAACGCAAAGACAGGGTGTTATTACATGTATTCCCAAGGGAGATAAGCCTAGGCAGTTCTTAAAAAATTGGAGGCCTATAACATTATTGAATATTAGTTATAAAATTGCTTCAGGCTGTATAGCAGATAGAATAAGGTCAGTTTTAAATAAGTTAATATGTGAAGATCAAACAGGATTTACTTTAAGGCCGTTACATTGGGGAAAACACACGATTGGTATATGATATGCAACTTGCTGAAGATTTGAATATTCCGGGAATGCTTTTAATGTTAGATTTTGAGAAAGCTTTTGATTCGGTTTCGTGGAAATATGTTGACAAGGTATTTAGTTATTTTAATTTTGGGCCAGATATTCAAAAATGGGTTAAGTATTACATACTAATGTATCAGCTACTGTAAATCAGGGGGTAACCTGTCATCTGTTGTTAATGTCAAAAGAGGCTGTCGTCAAAGCGACCGAATAGCTCCATATATTTTTGTTTTATGTGTAGAAATACTAGGTATTAGATTCAGAAATAATAATAGAATTAAGGGTATGGAGGTTAATAGTTGTCCAGTTTTCATTTCACAATATGCCGACGACACCACCCTTATATTAGATGGCTCAGAAATTTCCCTGAAAGAATCTATTGTTGAATTGGATAAGTTTGCAACATAGGATAATACAACATATATTGACAACTAATTCATTTTTGTTTAAAGCTGGTATAACTAATAGTCCTATGTGTAACCTTTATAATATGGAACAGGAAACAATTATTCATGTTCTATGGGAGTGCCATGAAACACAAACATTACTACAAAGTTTAGAAACCCTTTTTGATGCACTCCTTATCCCATTTTCTTTTAATAAACAAAGATTTCTCTTTGGTAATTTATTACATAATGGCAATAATATAGGTAATAAGACAGGTAATGTAATTTTGATTTTAATCAAATTGTAATATACAAAACAAGATGTCTACATAAAGCCTTAAATCTGACAGTTTTAATCAGTTCAATTAAAGAGTATTATATGTGTCAAAAAAGTATTGCTTATAGTGAAGGGGAACTTTCCCAACAGAAGTTTAGGGCTGAATGGATAAAATGGGAGAAATTGTTAGAAATCTCAGACTAATTCATCTGTTCAAATATTTGTGAATTTCCTGGGTACAGTTTAAGAGCTTTGATATCTTTCCATTGTATACAGGTATATATTTATAGAATAATTTGTATTTCTCTTGGTTGTTCATTGACATTCTTCCGAGAAATTTATTTTCTCTCACCAGACGCTAATTTTTTGGTTTGATTTTTTGGATCAGACCTCACCTCTACCCCAGTAAACTCTTTCTCTCCCTCCCCATCTCCCCACTCCTCCCCCCTCTCTCTCCCTCCATATTATTTACTCTCTCCATTTCAATACATTTTCATAGTTTTTTTTTCTCTCATTTTGTGGTATGTGTGGGTGTGAAAGTTTGTGTACATGTATATCTAGTAAAAATGATGATGATGATGATGATGACAGAGTGAGTGAAAATGATTGTACATGGATGATACTGATTGTATATGACATGATGATGATTGTATATGACATGATTATGATTGTACATGGGATGATGATGATGATGTTTGTATATGAGATGATGATGATGATGATGATGATGATGATGATGATGATGATGATGATGATGATGATGATTGTACAAGGGATGAAGATGATGTTTGTATATGGGATGATGATGAGGAAGATGATGATGTTGTTGATTGTAGAAGGGATGGTGATGATGATGATGAGTGTACAATTATAGGATGCATGAGGTGTACAATTGCTATGATGTGTGCAAAGTTGTTATCTGTATGTTTAAAATGCTTTGAAAAATAAAATAGATATTAAAAAAAAATCAAATATGGCGTCATAGCGGACATTTTGTTTTTCGACGAAGTTGAAAATCACGTCAGAATTAAGAGAGTGCGTTATCAAACCTATGCTTGATTTGTGGAAAATGGGAACCCTCTTTCCCTCATTTGTATAATAAGGTACACTTCTAAGATGGTTCGGTATATAAACAGAAAACGGATATTTCATACAAATATCTTTATCGAGATACGCTATTCCTATACCGATCTATCTACAGCATGCAGTGTGCTAATAGACATGATGACTCAATTTAAATAATGGACAAGTTAAGATTACAGATATGTACGTATACCTAGACAATGACGTCAATGGTATTTCTTACCAAGTGTATTGATTCAAAAGTGTTTCTATTACTCCTCATGGAAAAGAAACTCTCCATATTAATTATTGAAATGATTTTCTGTCATTGTGTTGAACCAATTCTTACCGTAAAATTTACGTAAAAAGTTTAAAAAAGTTATTAATGCTATGAGTCAACAAATCACTTTTAGCTCTCAGCGAAATTTCCAGGTTACTTATCCTGGTATAATTGTCAAGCAGAAGTAAGCGGATTATCATTAAGTTAACTCATAAATAGATACAATGTCAGGATTCTTTCTATTTGTATAGAAAGATATTGATCGATAATACTACGCTGTTTGGTTCTGGTCAGGTTTAACCATTAAATATATGTGTCTCTTTATATTGTCATAAATATTTATCCATAATTTTGCTCCCCCTGATATCATATCGTTGTATAAAATGCAGTGTAACTGTGTGAGAAGAAAATTATTGTTGAATGTTTATGTTTACTGTATTAGATTCTGTTAGAATAGTTACATCAACGAAATGCAATATTGGCATCTAAATCATTTCCGATAGTTTTAACTTGTTAGTAAGGATGTACTCCTTTGATGTTTGACAGGAAGTAAGATTTACGTGTAATTCATTACAAAATGTAATACCTTTGTATTGAA